TTATCCTAGAATGTTTTGATTACACAGTTGTATTTGATTGATAGCTTTGCTGGGTCAAGGATTCTTGGCCGGCAGTTTGTGGTTGTTTTTTCAGGGTTTTATATATGTCTCCCCATTGCCTTCTTGCTTGCATGGTTTCTGCTGGAAGATCCGAGCTTAATCTGACTTGCTTGACTTTGTATGGTACGCTTCTCTTTTCCCTAGCTGCTTTCAGGAATGTCTCCTTATCTTTGATTTTGGACAGCTTCATTATGGTATGTCTTGGTGGTTTTCTTTTGAAGTCTACACTTCCTGAGGCTCGTTGAGCTTCTTGAATGCTTATCTTTTCACTTTTTAGGATGCTAGAGAAATTTTCTTCCAGAAGCTCCTTGACTATCTCTTTTGTGGACTTGTGTGATTCTTCCTGTTCTAGAATGCTGATAATGCAGAAGTTAATTCCTTGTCATGTTGTCCAACATGAATCTTAGACCTTTTTCAGATTTTTCATCCTTTTTTGTGCTTGCTCTTCTATCTTAGTGGTATTGAGTGATTTGTCCTCCAGTTCACTAGTTCTGTCTTCCATCTCTTCAATTTACTCCTTTACCCTTTTAGTGTATTGTCTATTTCTGATATTCTTTTATTAATCATGTGAACTTCTTTCTGTAGGTTTTTAATTGTTTCCAATGCTGTATCTATCTGATTTGATTGTTCCTGTAGCACTTGCCTGACTTCTTCCTTATTTTCTTCAATTCCATTGTAAAGTGTTTCGAAACATTTTATAGTCATTTTTTCTGAATTCCTTCTTAGGCATTTCCAAGTCCTACCCTCCTTCCAGAATGGAGTCCAGATCTACCTCTAGGTCATTTGTGTCAAACCTTTTATCTTGTTTCTGGACCTGTGCTGATATGGTCATCTGTGTTTGCTTCTTAGACATGTTTATCTGTGGCCTTAATACTTAATTTGGTGTGTGATTTGGTATTTTTTATGCTTTCTGATTGCCTCCAGGTAGATGTAATCAGGAGGTGGGCTTCTCTTTTCAATCTTCTTATTGCTTAACTCAGAATAACTTTCTCATATGTTGTCTGCCTCCCTGGTGTATGGCAGTTGGTATTGGTTCTTGCTTGGATTGCGGGGCTTTATAGGGTGTGATTGTATCTTGACTATATGGCAGCAATTGTTGTCTCTTGTTGTATAATATAGGGAGAGAATGAGCCCCCAATAGGTAAAAAGGGGAACAAAAGCAAAATACAACAGAACAAAAGCAAAGCAAAACAAAACCAGATGGCTTTGTATACTTTGATATACAATCTATACTGTAGTCTATAATTATAGAAAAAGAAGCGAGAGAGAAGAAGAAAAAAAAATCTGTAGCCTAATATGATTTTGACTTTGATGTCCTCTTTCAGTTTCTTGCCTTCAAGCTGTCTGATAAATTTCAAGCTGCGACTGTTGGTTGTTATGCTGTACCTTAGGATTTAATTTTCAGCCTGTTTTGTTTTTAAACTCTTTCCCACTCCATAGCCCCTGTTCTGGCTTTCTCCCTATTAATAAGCAATTCAGGACTGGGTGTGGTCATTTTAGCTGCATGCCCCTTTAAATGCTGAGGGTATCTGTGTACATGTACATGTATTGTACACAGATACCCTCAGCATTTAAAGGGGCATGCAGCTAAAATGACCACAGAAGAACCCACCAGTGGTGGGGGTGGGTAGTGTCCAATCACTCAGGCACTCCCTCTAGTCACCAGAATGGAGGTGCGTAGACAGTGAGGGGCCAATGAACAGATGCCAAAAAAAAAAAAAATCAAAACAAAGCAAAACCAACAAGTATATGGTCCACCTTTGCTCCAAGGTTCCCATGGGGTTATTCCGTGGTGGGTCTGTTTGCTACATGCTTGGTCTTGCCGTTTGGTCTCACCCAAGTTATCAACTCCCAGCCCCTGACCCCAGCAGATTCTAAAGTATGAGATTTCTTACTTCCACTACAAATTCCACTAGCTATAAACCTTCAAATTTTTAAAATATTCCTACCTATGTGGTTCAAAGTTTTGGAGCTCTCCCCTGAACCCATTTCATCTGGTATTCTATGGTATGGCTAACAGAGATCTTCATACACCTCTACCCTATCTGCCATCAAACCCCACCCCTGGCAATATTTTTTAATCATGTTTATGTCAGGTTAAAGTTAACACTGGCTTTCTTTTTCTCAGATTTTCTCACTGGATGTAGGTAAAGGAAGATGAGTATAATGAATGGTTTAAAATTTAGAAATGTGTGTGACAAGGTTGTATTCTTTCACCATACTTGTTCAACCTGTATACTGAGCAAATATTCTAAGAAACTGTGTTAGATGAAGAAAAACATGGCATCAGGATTGGAGGAAGACTCATTAACAATGTTGTATAATAATATACAACAATGTTGTATAATAATATACAATATTGTATAGTAATAAAATTTATAATAATATACAACAAGGTTGTATAATTATGCAATCATGTTTGCTGCAAATAAAGAAGACTTAAAACATTGACTGATGAGGATCAAAGAGCACAGCCTTTTGTATGGATTACATCTAAATGTCAGAAAAACAAAAATCCTCACCACTAGACCAATAAACAACAATCTTATCAATGGAGAAAAGATTGAAGTTGTCAAGGACTTCATTCTTCTTGGATTGAGTATCAACACTCATGGAAGCAGTAGGCAAGTAATCAAATGACATATTGCATTAGGAATATCTGCTGCACAAGACCTTTTTAAAGTGTTGAAGAGCAAAGATGTCAACTTGAGGGCTAAGGTGTGCCTGAGCCAAGCCAAAGTATTTTCAATAACCTCATATGCATGTGAAAGCTGGACAGTGAATACGGAAGACCATAGAAGAACTGATGCTTTTGACTTATGGTGTTGGAGAATATTGAAAGTGCCATGGGTTGCCAAAAGAACTAATAGATCCATTTTGCAAGAAGTGCAGCCAGAGTGCTCCTTGGAGGCCAGAATGGCCAAACTTCGTCTCTCATACTTCAGACATATTGTCAGGAGGGACCAGTCATTGGAGAAGGATAT